AGTAATAAATGAGAATTTTAAAATACTTACATGATATTCTTAAATACAGGAATGTACAAAAATGCTTCAATTTCATGCTGTGGACACACATAGACCTCTGGTTTGACAGCTGAATGGCACTGAAATCTACTCAGAGAATTAACTTAATCCTCACTTTATGTCACAGCCACATGCTCTCTGTCAGAAATAAAATCATCCACATCATATTTCTAATTACTTAGCCATCAAGTCTAGAAGATCATAAAAGGGTGATTTTTTTTAATGTGCTGGCTTCAAATGGAGCTTTGATGAAGATGTATTATGCTAAATACCAGATAAATACTGCTTAATGGTTCTTATGATGTTATTCATGTAAAGCCAAACTGACCTGTTAGTACATGCAGACCAAAATGAACAAATAAAGAATAGAAATAATTGTTCCTATTCCAGAGAGTTCTCATTATATCCACTTTTCCCTCAGTGTTCATCTTTTGTCTTCTTTGTTCTCCTCCAATCTCTTTTTAAGTGCTTGTGGGAGAAAAATGATACCTTTTGTAGAAAGCTGAGATAGTGATACATAAACATTTAATTCACTAGCAATCTTCAAATTCAAATCAAAGCAGAATATGGTCAAAGGGACACTGAAATCATCAGATTAGTTATGCTATATATGAAGAATAAAGTGGGATGTCTGGTTAATAGCAGATCTTAGGAAATGCTTCCCTTTTAATCACATCTTTCAATTACCTGTGATGAGCTTTACATTTGCTAAATATACTTTTCACTGAAAACAGTCCTAACTGGATAGGCTTTGTGACTTTATGAAGGTATGTGGTCAAAGTTTCATCTTTGGATAGCTTAATACTGCACTGAAAAGTATTGAGAAATACATGGGGTTGGATAAACATTGTTTTATTTGCTTAGGGATAGGTTAGATCTCCTTTCCAACTCTGAATTTTATTTATCTATTATTCACTGAATTTGCTGCCTGCTCAGTGGATTTCTACTCACAGATGATGTTTGTGACTGCAGAGCAGGCAACTTTGCATTTTAACACGTTTGGTTTTCAGCTCTCTTTTTATTTTTCTCTTCCCGCTCTGCACACACTAAGTACATCAATACAGTATGAAACCTTTGGGAAAAGTGTTCATAATTGTAGTTTCTTAAATAAAGAGTGAGAGTATCTCTGTGTCCAGATGTTGCCCACATTATTATTCACATGAAGCATGAGTAACCAGCTCATTTTGACATAACCATGCTGGTAATAGGCATTGATTAATCCCAAGATTTCTGGTGAAAATGTAAAAATGTGAGTCTTGACATTAATGAGATGTTGAAGTTAAATGTAATTGACTTATAAGCTTGAGTTTTATTAAAGATGTTTGTGGTTTGTTTAATAGTCTGTGTGATATTATTGAAGAGGAGCATAGCTCACAGCAGTAGAGACAGAGCAAAGACACTTTGTTACACATATTTTTACTGTATAATTAGTGGTGAAAACATTATTACCTTTTCATTGTATCTCACTTTTATCAGGTAGTTGCCCCTTCCTGTGCACTGTCTCTATTTTCTCTTAATTCATGTGTGCTATCCTTTCTCCCCATACCTCCACCTGCTTTGCCCCGTTTTTGCCAGGTTTGCTACATCTTAACCCAGAGGCTATCAAATGGCTCCCAGTGAATTTACTTTGGAGCTGTGTATTTTGAGCTATCCTAGACTGCACAGTGTAGGCAGGGTTTTTATGATGTGCTTGTTCTCTGCTGATGTAGAGCCAACAGTTCAGTCCTGTGTGCATTCCACAGAGCACTGTCTCCAGGGTTAAGGAGACTGTGCATAATACCTCTGAAAGGGGAAGAATTTTCTGAGCTCTGTTGGGGAAAATACTGAATTACTAAGCCAGCACCATATCATGAGCCTCCTGCCACACACTGCATAGAAAACCTAGCTTCAATTTTGCCTATAGGACATATTGATTTACAGTGTAAAATAGTAGGATTTAATGCACAACATAAGATTTCTATGAAAAATATAATTACAAAATGCCAAATTTAGAATAGCTGATGTATATTTACTGCCTGTCTTCCTGCAGGGGAAGAGTTTCCAAACCTGGCTGCATGGCTGGCAAACACATGTAGTTCTGGAAAGAATTGCAGTCTGTTTACCACTTGTATTTATCCTGATTTAATCTATTAATGACAGATTATGAAAAACTGATATTCTGAGTGACAACTACTGCCACATACCTGTATTTTCCATCAGCTGGATGTGCATGGATTTTGCCAGCCCTACCTACAGTTGTTGAGGTCATAACATTGTGCCATACTTCCTTCTCTTCTGTGGCTATCAAGTGTAAAGGATATAAATTAGATTATTACCTGAAATTAAGTATGTCCATTCACAGAGATGAGAAATGACAACTCTTTTAATGTCTAAATTCCATGTCCTATCATTTACATGCAGCCACAAAGCACATTTTACTGTGTAAAGGATTTGCTACTAACATTCATAAATAAGAAAGTCTTTAATATAAATGTCTTTAGAGTCCTCCTGAAGAATAAAAAGCCAGTGATCATTGATTCTCATCTATGCAACTGAAGCAATACTCTAATGTGCCTTTCCAGGAACATGTTGAAGGAGAAAACTGTGACCGCTGTAAACCGGGTTTCTTCAATCTTCAGCAAAATAATCCTGAAGGCTGTGAGGAATGTTTCTGCTCTGGGAAAACAAACATCTGCAGACACTCTCCCTTTACCTACAGAAGTGTAAGAAAAATCATACCATACCAATACATGTCATTGCTTTGTGCTTTTTGTGCTGTCAGTAACCATTGTCACTAGGTTTTTTTCTTATTAGAAAATCATGCATGTCCCTTATTTTCCATTTATCCCTAAGAAAATGCCTGTAAGCTTTGTCTCTCTTCTTTGTGAGAAAATTCTGAAATAGGGCAATTAGAACAGTGAAAAGCACAAAAGGAGCTATAACAATAGAAATTGAAGCCATGTGCATAAACACAGTCCTGGAATGTGTGTACATAGCCACTCCTTAATTAAATGCTCCGTATCCATAGGCCTCTTTTCCAGGTAATTATTAAATTTCTAGACCTGAAGTAATTAAGAATTTGGAAATGCTAAATGTACAACACACAGCTTAAGTAAGAAAAGAATGCCTTGCAGGGGGCATGTTGAATGCATTTCTTTTGTATGCTGCGTTCCTAGGAAAGGATGTGAGAGGGAGATGAACCTGCTGTTCTTATTTATACTGTAGAAAAATGTCTTTAGCCTGCAAATGTACTCAAAACTGTAAATTAGTTCTCAAAGCTCAGACACTGATGCCACTGAAATGGATGTTTGCTACATATTCATGCCTGTAGATTGAGTTTGGGAAATGTGTTCTAGGTCTACTAGATCTTGATTTTGGCCATACTGTTATGCTGGAAGTCTGCAAGTAACATCATATATGTCTAATGTTCTCATTTACATGCCAGCAACTGGAAAATTTTCCATTCCATGGCTGAGCTCATTTATTTCTCTGCTTGTATCCGGGCTCCAGAAACCATCTTTGTATGAACAGTGTGCTCTTCTCTGATGATTCATTTCTAGTTATGGGATTTCAAGTTCTGGTGCTTTCCAGCACCAAAAATATATAAAAGTATTAAAAGTATATTTGGCCTTGTAAGTGGTAAGGTTTTAGAATGGAAAAATATTATAAATTATGCTGTCTACAGCAATCAGAAAAATGTATATCCATTTGTCAGTTCATTTTCTGCACAATTGGTGACTGATATTATTTACTGAAAACCTGCAAAATATTTGTAGATATTCTTACACATGTTTGTATGATGGAATTTCCTTCTTGCTCTGAACCATGAAGCACAGAATGCAAATACTTGCAGTTCTTTCAAACTGAGAAGTTAAAATTCCCAGTCATAGACAATAAGAAATGTTTGCTGATTTTACTTTGTGTTTTCAGTGGTTCATACACTGCTGTTAAACCGTATTAGTTTTTTAAAAAATGGAAGAATGAGAGGCTGTGACTATTGAAATTATTTATGCTCTGATTCTTACTGAAATGAAGGTTTTATTTATTTATTTTCCTATCATTTTAGATAGAAGACATGAATGGTTGGTATCTGACTGACTTACCAGGTCACATCAGAGTTATCCCCACGCAAAAGAGATTTGATGGGCATCAGCAGCTTAGCATCAGCAACGTGGCTGCGCAAAAAGTACTGCCACAGATTTACTATTGGAGTGCTCCCAGTTCTTATTTGGGCAACAAAGTAAGTGCAGGTGGTACTTGCCTAAACAGTAATTTGATTTATTGAGAAAAAATGTAAGGCTTTGAAGGGGGGTGGAACTGAGGGAGGATAAAATTGGTTAGCTATTTGACTGGCAAAATTGCAAGCAGAAAGGAATCACCTTTTGAGGCAAAAAGTTACCTAGAAAAAATTAATTAAGTATCTTCTACCTTGAGCCCTCTTTGGTCTCTTGATGTCAGGTGCTAGAAAAGTGCAGCTGGTTCACAGCATTGGTTTTTGAATGAACTAGCTGGTGTGTGGTTCAGTTTGGCCTGTTCTCTTCCCACCTTGTTCTCTGCTTTGAAAACCAGTTCCCTCATCTGCTTTTCAGAGATGCAGGCTGTGTATCAGATGTTGTGGGGGTGTTTAATGTTTTTCAGGAAACTTGTGTGTGGGGAGCTCTCTGCCCTGGAACTCAGAAAATGCTCTTGTGAGCTTTGTGACAGTTCTAATGTGTTTATTTAAGTCTGTGTGTATGTAAGTGTGTATGTACACACATATTCACATCCCACAGGTTAATATCAAATCCAAAATACTTTCATTAAAATCTCATTTTTTTCCAGAGAGTACAGTTGAAGACTGAATGAGTCTTAAATGTGAAGAAAGCTTAACAGCTTTCCATCTTCTTTACCTGATTATGCTACAACTTATCAGAAATGCTAACACTGATGTATTTGAGCACATTTTCCTTTGTAGTCTCTTCAGGCTAGTCAATCTCTTATTTATTTATTTCTTCCTGTTGGCTGAAAATCAACATGACAGAAGGTAAGTGAGCACATTGAAATTAAATAACATCATTCCAAAGAATTGGGCATCCTGTTCATAAATTGTTAAAGAGAGTCAGGATCACTTAGCTGGGCAAGGGGGAGTTTCTTCTATGATAGTGCATGAAATGTGAACTGATACTTTTCCTTCCAGAATTCCATCTTGCTTCTAGTCAGTGAGTGAAATAATGGTAGGAATATGCACACATTATTTGAATGTGGAAGATATTTTTTCAGTGTAATTTGGAGGTCCTTTGTGGTTACTGTCAGATATCACTGTATGAATGAAGCAATTTGCCTTAATAACTGAACCATATAAATTTTTGATACTACAATAACAGTGAAAGCACTCAAATTACCACAGTACATCTTAACTGTCATGTTGCATCATGTAAACTATAGTAGTAATGACATGCCTAGGCCAGATGATTTATGCTATGGAAAGGGAAATGGAAATAGAATATTGAGAGTCCTTATTTGTAAACTCAATAAAACATTTCTCTAAATAGCTGAAACTGAATAAAACCAAATAGCTGAATCTAGATAAAAACATCCTTTCTTGAGAATAACTGCTAGCTGTAGAATAATTGGTATGTCAAAGCATGCAAATTCTTTAAGAATTTTTGTTTCAAGAAACATATAAAAAAATTGAGGAAATCTTTTATCAAGATGTACACTTCTTTTTTAATTTATAAATCTTGTATCACAGAAAGCTGCCTCTCCTCTATATTGCTAAAATTATTTCTTTTAAATTATATTCCCCAAAATAAAATTGAATATAGGTAGTAACCATCCTGCATTTCCTAGTTTTCAAATATAGCTCAAAAAACTTATATCAAATATTTCTTTTAATATGAAGTTGACATGTCATGTGTGTGCCTGCACAGTATTGATTGACATATGTGTGCTATCTGATTGTTTTACATCCATCTCCAACTGCCTCTTTTGAAAGAAAATAAACATTATAAATAGAATACCCCTGTGCAGCCTTTTCAGCTTTTTCTTTTTCATTTAAATCTGGGTGGTGCTAGGCTATGTGATACTGGTCTTTGTGTCTCGAAGGAGACATTCTAAATAACAAGAGGCTGTAGATGGTACAGAATTCTTGTTTATGTCAGAGTGGGACAAAAACATGAGCAAACTAATACCACATTACCATACCCTTTTAGTCTTCTAAATATATGTGCTGTTACCAGAACTTAAACTTCATTGTATAATTTTTTAAAAAGCCATATAATATGCATTTGAACTGGAAAATTGAACAATGTTTTTGATGCAGAATACGTTTGGGAGTAATCTGGTGGAATTTAATTTGTAGAAATAAAATACCTAGTGGATAATTTGAGAGAACAGATTTAAAATGGCTAGTATTAAGGTTTTAGTAGGTATCATAAAGCAGTTTATATTCTCGCCTGCCTACCTTCTCATAGCCTACTGAACTAAGAATTGCAGCAATCATGAGGAATTGGGCTGTGTTAGACCTTCTAGAATCTGAAAAATTGCATTATTCTAGAAACTCTAATTACATTGTAGGTATTTGAAAGCCCCATTTTCTTTTAGTAAGCAGTTTCTTCAATTGTTTTGACAATGGATCTCTAAGTTTCTTTTAAACATGTGTCCATGCTAAAATATTTTATTAATTTGCCTGAAAGTGTTATGAGTTATAGTATGATAATATTTGATCAGAGCACTGAAAAGAAAGTATAGAATAAATTAAAAATTAGATACCCAACTCAGCAGGATAATGTGAAACATTTGTTTCTTTAAAATCAATTCAGAAGTGTTAGGTGTGTGGGGTATTTTGAAAGTCTAACGTTACGTATACACACTGCCTTTTTGATACCTCATCATAAAGCAATTTGATAATTTGTATGATGACTAGAAGCTCCCTATCATTAGATAAAAGTAAATATAATATTCAACATATCTAAACATATGACACCCCTTCCCACCCCTCCATGACACACGCATGAGAGGTGGCTGAGGCCACTTGAAGTTCTGTGAGGAAACTTCCATCTCTGGGTACATGCTTTATTTTTTTTCTGCAGCTGTAAGTTTTACCTTCCTTTCTCTGCCAAGGGCAAGCTTTAATGCGAAGGTGGAGATTTACCTTGCCTTTTTCAGATCATTAGTGTCAGCAGTTGCAGGTTAATTTAGTCCTTAAGTGGATTTCATCTTAGAATTCAAATCTCTGGACATTGTTAGGTCTCAATGCATAGCACATAATACCCCTCCCACTTTTCTGTCTGGCCTTTGAGCAGCCACTAATGCTGCCATTACTCGAACTGCAAACAACATGATGGAAACCCTAAACCACATTTTCTCCAGACCACTATATGCATACTGGCAGACTTGGATTGAGATGTTTCTTGATTCCAACCCTGTTTTACAGGAATAATTTAAATTAGTTGTACAGTATGATCCCATTCACTATAAGTAAGGTTAATATACGCTGATCCTTTGTGAAGTCAGAGCATGTTGAAAATTAAAGTAAAAGGTGTTTCAATGTTAAGCTTTGTTATCTCTTGGAAAAGTTCTGGGACATCATGTTTGTCAATTCCATAGACATAAAGCAGTCATATGATAGGTATTGTTCTTTCTCTGACTTTTAGTTAAAACCAAGACAGCAGCTGAAAGTTTATGTAGAGTCTGTGCATACAGAACAGGAGGGGAAAGGTTTTGACCCTGTCCCTTCGTTTATTTTCCTTTTATTTTATAACTAGCTATTTGGTAATAACCTATTTGCTGACTTCACTAAGTCATTGTTTCTTTGAGTCCAGAAATGAAGACACTGTAATAAGCCTGTAGTCAATTCATACAAATTTTAAAAGTCTGTCAGCTTTTTAAAAGTACTTCACTTGTGGAAAACTAGATTGGGATAGAGTGAGCAGTTTGTTTTGTGACATATTATCTATTACAGACTGCCTAGAATACCTCATAGGATTAAAAATTTAATTATAAAATAATAATGAACTAGGTCTTCATAGCTTTTATGTTTATTTCCTTCCATTTGTTTTCATTTCTTAGGCAATTCTGATACAAAAGGCAGAATAATGCAAGCAAATTGCAATCTATGGCTCTCACGGGGGAAGGGATGGAGTTGAGACCCAAAATATAAGGAAGCATAAATAATACAATAATCAGCTGGAACTGAAATGCTGGGATCAATTGTCCTGAATTATGAATGCATCTAAGCCCAGAAAGCTTCATCATGGTTTTGTCATGGTTTCAGATCTCAAGATTTTCTTGTTCATAGGACATGATGCTGTTACAAAGACCCACAACTCCTTTACTTTTAGTGCCTGCCTAAAAAAGGAAAGCAATCTAGCATAATACTTTTTGGTATAAATGGATGTTAAATTTTTAACTACTACAAATTAAATTGTAGTTGGAAGCGACTGTTTTTACCATCAGTTGTTTCTGAAATTATTTGGCCTGATGGAAGTAATCTAGCCTAGAGAATTCCAACACTCAGCTTTGTCAAATTCAGCCAACAGACTGATTTTTGTAAGCATACTATTGTCAGGAAAGCAAAGTATTGCAGCTTAGGTGGGCTGATATGATGTCTACTTCTGCATCTTTGCAAGAAAACACATTATTTCAGGTTGTATGGACAGTTTAGGCCATCAGTAGGAGATTTTGTTCCCTAATGTATATGGTTTGTCCAAATTTAAGCAGGTTACCCTTTAGTGACTTAATGGTAGTGCTTGAAGTGTCTGCTCACTGTGTGATGGTAAGGCCAGTATTTTGTGATGAATTTGCCTTTTTTATACCATCTGAACATGAAAGTGTCATCACCAGTTTTGAATGTGTAGCAAAGCACATCACCAAGCTTGCAACAGTGAATTGGGAACAGAGTAGGGAATGTGATCCACAAGTGTAAGGTATAACATAACAAAACCAATTTTGTAGGGACATTTAATGATTCTTAATATATTTATTGTAAGTATGAGTAGGATGTAATACTTGGGTTATATGCATGTTATCCATATCTAGAAAAGAAACAGTAATAAGCATCAGCAGTACATAGTATGCAAGAAATGTCCTTCCAACACCCCTGAAGTTATTCAGAGTTGCTGAAAATTTCAGATTTTTTTAAATAGTCAACAGCCAACTTATGGCAGGAAATTAAAGAAATTCAGTTAAACATAAATTAAAAATAATTTTTTTAAAGACAGCTACTTCAGTATCTTCTCTCTTTCACATTGGAATGCATTCTTCTAAGAAAAAGATTTTTTAGTTTATTGATGTTTTTCGTTTTATAACAAGTAACATTAAACTGATCTAAATAATGCTGTTTTATTTTAAATGACAATCTAAACTGACCTGACCAAACCAAGTCACCATAGTAATCAGACTCAGTAGACAGTGTGGAGTTGTCTTCAATTTATACCAAATGGGCCATTTATTTTATTAGTATTTTATTTATTATTTCAATATAGCTTCTAAAAATTGAGATAATAGGCAGAGTCAGGTATGGAAAAGATGAGACAGAGCAGACATCCAAGGGAAGAGGAAAATATTTTAAGGATTTGAACCACACCTGATGTTTTCTTTAAGTTTACTTAATTTGTATTTCATTATTTGGTTTAGAGTCTTTATTTTTCTTGAAATATTGTTTCAGTTTGGCACCGTGAAATGGACAGGGGTAGGTCTCTCATTCTTTCACTGCTGTGGCTTGCCAAATTTGTCTTGATTCCCAGTAAAAAGGGCAACAATATTAGTACCGTCCTACCTGGGGCTCAGCAACCCATGACTGTAAAGAACCACCAAGAGATAAGTAAATTTTGCACACTTTGTTCCTCGTTAATGCTTTTAATGATGCTTGGGTAGCCTGTTGGGATGGTTCAAGTACAGCCATTATTGTGATTACAAGGAAATTAAGGATACCCAGTAGACTGTTACAGCCTCCTTGCGCCCTGGAAATGGGTTGAAACAGGGCTCAGACTCTGCCTAGCTGAGAACACTGACTGCAGTATTTCATGTATCCCATGTTACATTTAATTTCTTAGTGCTAAAATCATCTTACACTACCCTAGATAAAAGAGAAAATTTACTGTTGGTGAAATTATTTCATAAATCTCTAGTGTCCTTTGTGTTACCTGCTTACCCAAGTCTGCCTTGAAGGCAAGGGTTTCAATCAATAGAGGCAGTTGAAAAATGGAGAAACAAGCAGAAAATAAGGCAGTTTCACAAAAGAAGGGAAGTGAATGCTAGAGTGAGAGCACTGAGGGGTGATAGGAAATAATGAAGAAGGAAGTAAATTGGGGGAATATGCTTTCCAGCTTGTGAAGTCTTACTCTCTGATTTCTTTGATCACAAATACTAAAATAATGAAGGATCTGAAGAAGAGGAAGATAAAGAAAAAAAGGCTTTGACTTAGGAAGAATTTATATAGCTGGTTGTTTGTAGTGAGGGCTTATCACCATGCAAACCTATATGGTGATTATGATTCCCTAGCTAGAGATAGCTAGATTGAACAGTGGTTACTTAATGACTGCAAAAGAAAACTGAAATTTATGAAAGGAAGAATATGTAGGGGTTTTGCTCTTCTTATATTTCATTCCTCTTATATACATACTTATATATATTTAGTGCATGCTAAATACTTCACTAGCAAATAAGTGTTTGCTTTGAAAACTATATTTAGAGTTCCTTGCTCATCACGGAGTACCTGTGTTTAATCAAGTTTTACTCACTTAGATTAATCAGAGGGAATTTATAGTCCAAACATCTAGTTCATATTGGGTTACACAGGATGTGATGAAGGAATTTGTGCCCATCACCAAAAGGTTATACTTGGGAACTACTGAATAGTTGTTCTCAAAATGTTGAGAGCCATAAAGAGTTAGTTTTATGTTTAGTTTCCAGATTTCCATTTATGAATAAATAAACCACAATTTATGTCTGATTTACCTGCCCCCCCCCCCAATTTACGTCAAATTTAAATGATTTACAAAATCTTGAAATAAAATGTAATTTAAATTGTTGAATTTAAATAACTCATTAGTAACACTGCATGATACCACTGAGCTTTAGTTTTGTATTTTGTGGTGTTCAATTTTGCTTTCCATATCAGAAAGGCAGTATGTGGCAGGGCAGAAATACTGAGAATTTCTGATGGTGCTCAAGGGAAACAGCCTTTAGCACAAACCATTTGTTGCATTTTCAATCTGTGCTATATTTTTTTTGAAGTTTGACATGCTCAGTAGCATCTGACAATCTCAAAATTGTCCTTACATGCAGCTTCTCTACAAGATGGATAAATTCTGTTGTTTCCATTTTACATATAGGAATTAGCCTTGCTATTCTACATCTGTCCTTAGAAACTATGTTTTGGTACCTAAGCTGGATTGACACGCTACCTTGTGTCATTAAGAATTTTTAAAATCAAACAGGTGTAGCACAGGTGCCCAAATCCAAGTGCTAATCATCCATGTGTACATGCAATTAGGAAGTCTGTGTGGTGGATTTATGGGACTCATATTTTATTGTATGGATGTTACGGGAATTTTTAATGAATTCACAGATTTGGGAGACCTAATCCAACTAACTTGGTAAATAGTATTTTACATCTATTGTATTAACAAAAATGTTGTTTGTTTATAAAACAAAATATTGGCAGGAGTTGCTGATTTTTCAAATAAAAAGCAGCATTACTAATAAGAGTACAGAAGATGTAAAGGTGGTATAAATGGTTGAAAATCATACTAATTCAATTAAGACATTAGTGAAAGAAAACCCAAACTGATATTCAAAGTGTATGTGAAGTAATGATTTTTTGTGTTAGTTTATGGGAAGCAGTAATCATTATGGCTGTGATAAACAGCCAAGGAATTGAATAATGAAATGGCAACCAGAACTGACAGGTAAGTAGTACAGTAGTGATCAGAAGCTTGAATTATTTGCTTAGTTGTAACTTCTGTTTTCATTGAGTCATCATTCTAATAGTATTAATACTGAGTATCATGCTTTGATCTAATACCTGAACAGAGGATGAAGCATTCTTTAACTCCTGTAGATCTTGTGCCTCATGTACCCTATCCCATGTCTCATATACCCTGACTACTCTGAATGGACTCATACTGCTTTGTGAAATCTCTAGAAAGCAAAATGAGATCCGATACTTAACATTCCTAGTAAGTTTGCATACTGTAAGATGATATCTAATAGAAGAGAATGATGATAGAAGAGGTTTTATTTTCCAGAGAGACTCTAGCTTAATACAATATCTTTCTTTAAAAAGTGGGAATTTAAAATATTTAATAAGTTTTTAGAAGTGTGGATTACCATAACTGTAGAATGATTTTTTATTTGTCTTCTTGCACCCAAGATACAAAAGGGCTAAGACATCAATATTTGGTATATGGAAGGGATAATCATGTGCTAGAACCCTAAGCTGAACTGCAGTGAATTATTGAACAAGTGTTTTGTTGGATGATGGAATATTACCTGCAAAGCAGTGCTCGTCTCCTAGAGGCACCTCCAGAGGTAATTGAGTTGAGCGAGTTAGGCTGACTGTCTCTTCAATGTGTTGTAACCTATCAATGGTAATAGTTTATTGTGATGATAAATGAACCCATCTCTCAAACTGAAACCTGAGTACACACTTCAGCAGTTTCCCTGAATCATAGGGCCATTACCTATCAACTTTAGATTGACAGGAGTGGCAGCAGCAAGAGCAGATAGCATGCATGAGTAGAGATAGATGATTATTTTACTCAAATGAATGGATTTGGACTTATTTTTGGTGAGTTTGTTTTGTGTTTTTGTGGGTTTTTTCATGAGCCTGCCTTAACATTCCATAGTTTGCTAGAATGTTCCCGACAATAGATGCAGTACCACCCCTGGCTGGATGAATTTGTGATTGGTATCTACATACCTTTTCAGTTTCACAGGCACTCTCTGTTGCAATACAGGTTAATAATTTTTTTTTCTGATTGCAGAGAGTGATATATGTTTGGCCCTGTTGTCACAGGTCCCCAGCCAGGTAATAATTAGCATTTACCCCATGATTCTCAGAAGGCTGATCAATCACTTTATTATACTATACTTGTTAAGAAACCCCTCACCCTTACAGACAGTCATGATACAGGTGGACCCAATTGGTCCTTCCATCCAAACAGCATCACCATTGGCCAGTTAAGAAACCACCCTTTTGTAAACAAATCTCCATAAAATAATCCACATGTTCACAACAACAGGTGCAGCAAGTGAAGATAAGATTTGTTTCTCATTCTTTTCTCTGGTCTTCTTACAGCCTTTTGCAGAAAGGCTTGGGAAAGTTGTCTGAAGATCTCTACGGCCAGGGAGCTGCTGCCACATGGCCCTCTTAGGTCTATCACTTTGTTTTCCAGCGCTAACTTCCTCAGAAAAATGGACAGAATAGAAGAACTGTAACATTACCAATATTTTTCATTATTTTATTACAAGATTTTGAAGCTGTAAGTATCAAATATCATTAAATACTTGGCACTTCTGGATCAATTCCTTGGCTAGTTCAATTCATTTTAGAGACAGGAAAATTTTTCACAGTGAAGGCAGCCATTTTATCAACTTTCTGTGTCAGTTTTATTCTAGGCTTTTTTTGTTGAGGATTTCAAGTATATTTTATTTATTAGAAATAACAGGGCCAGAGATACATCCCTTCAGTTTAAAATCCTAGAAGATGATTTTGGTTATGATTCAGTTTTTAAACTGAAATTGAAGAAGATAAATAGCTGTATATATTCCTGAACCGGGTCTCAGTTATCTGTAGGATAGCTCCAGCATGCTCTGAAGGTGTGACCTGGAGTGAACAGTACTTTAAACAAAAGTCTTTAGGCTGTGCAATTAGCCAGTCAGTACAATCCTCTCCGTGGCTGTGCATCTCTTCGTGCCAGGAGGTTTCCTGACACATGTCCTGGTGAGCTCTCCCTTACTGCAGCACGTACTTGACCATGAAGTTACTAAGACAAAACATCACACAATTCTAAGTTTGCTGTGCCATGAACTAGGTAGCTTGTTTGCAGAAATATTAATGGATATAAATACAGTGAATAGTAATCTGTAGTTTTCTGTCAATATTCTATCTTCTGTGCTCCAGAAAAAACACAACACAGTATTTCATTTACTTTGAAGTTATTTGAAGCTTAGATGATCAAAGTCTGTCATATTAGAGAAGAAATTTTTCTTCTTACATATTTTAAATTAAATGCAACAATACAGAGCTGTACACATACCTAGTAATTGTAAATATTTGCCAAGTTTTAAAAAAAACACCGACAGAAAAATTAAAAAAGTGACATGAAAAAGAAAATAATAGATCAGTATTCTGTTCTTATTAGTTGTAGAAAGATTTCCTAAGTTAATAAACCTGAGCAGTCGGAATTAATAAAACTAGTGGACCAAAGCCACATTTTTTAACTTAGAAAGTAGATTTGTAACAACAGATGCCTTTAAAGCTAAGCAAATAAATAGATACATTGTTTGGTCAGATGTGTCTTATTATCTAAATGTGTGAGCTAATTCTGTTTAGTCTGCTGTGATGAAAAGTTCTTTTTGAGAAAGAACTTTCTGCAGTTTTTTTTGCCAAGTTTCAGCTTCAGTCCTATGAGGCCCAGTGAATTTTTCCTCTCTTTCATAGGTGATGCATTAGCTCAGTTAGGTAGAAGCACAGAATCAATTTTTGTCATTTTTCTGTGTCTTTTGTTTTATATCAAATAGGTGATAAGTATACCTATACATTTGAATAAAAATCACTTTATACATGCATGTCATTTGTTGAACAAAAATATGAACATGTAATACAAAGGATGAAAGAGAATAAGAACTGCCACATGAGATTAAAAATTACAGAAAATTAAATAGAGGAATGATCAGGGTAACTTTTCTCAAAAAGCTCTCAAGCTTTTATGTTAGAGCTAGCTGGCAATGGTTCATTAAAATACTGCTTTGTTTTTTTTTTCACTAAACATTCTCAAATTTTCCATTAGAAACATCATAGAGAGATACTTTGTTTCTGAATTTGGAAAGTGTGATCCTCTTTGGCATTAATGGAGTTGGCTGAGTAACTGCAGTGTGCCTTTGAGGTAATGTCACTGCAATTTTCTTCCTGTTATTCTGAAAAGACACTTGGAGTAGTGTAAAAATCTTAACATTTGGTAACAGATTGGAGTTGTTTACCATGGAGAAAACATTCAGGAGGACCTTACTGCTCTCTTTAACCACCTTAAAGGAGGATATTAACAGGTGGCCATGGATCTTTTCTCCAGGTAATAAGCGACAGTACAAGAGGAAAGAGCAACAAGTTATGCCAGAGGAGGTGTAGATTAGATATTTGGAAACATTTCTTCACTGAAAGAGTGGTCTAGCATTGGAACAAACTGCCCAGGGAAGTAGTGGAATCGCCATACTTGGAAACATTCAAAAATGTGTAGATGGGGTGATTAGAGACATGGTTTAGTGGTGGACCTGGCAGCATTACATTGATGAACTATATTCATCACAAAGGTCTTTTCGAACCTTAATGGTTCCAGGATAACTCAGAATCTCTTACTCCTACCATAAGGATGGTCAAATAGATGATTCTATCAGTAAATCACCAGACTCATTAGCAGGCCTTCCCAGAGCAGCATGCAACAAAACATGGTTTTGCTTCAAGTATTCAAGGAAAATAAATGATAGCCAAAAATATTTGGGATAGGCAAAAGAGCTCTCCAAATCTCAGAGTTTCTCTTGACTGTCCCTGCACTGTCTAAATTTTGAATCAAATTCACCATTCAGGTGTGGCCTCATCAATCTGTGAAACCTGTTTGAAAATATATGACATAGCACATTACTGAGTTACAAATATAATGTTTTTCTGAAAGTTACGGGCAAAATTGAAATGACATAAGAAAAAAGCTTCCTAACTTTCAGTGCAAGTTTTTGTGGTAGAAAAGTTATGAGATTCGTTATTTAAAATAATGAAAGCAGCAGCTTTTCACCTATTTTATATGTGTTTATAAATACTGACTACAGTGTGCTTTCAGTCTGCCATTTATATACTTGGATGTCTATGAGAGCATTGTTCTAGGCAAATATGAATAACTTAGATTGAGCTACTTTTCTTGTAAATCATTATTTAGATTTTTTTTGTCTACTTTGATTCCCATGACTTTGAAGGTTTTTTAATATACTTGTTTTTGAGAAGTAAGATAGTTCTGGGCAATTATCTGTAGATATATTGTACAGAGAAGTAACTTTACTCTGATCACATTATACGTTCCAAAATGTAATGCACCTTTGACTTCCTCTTGAGATTTTTTCATGATAGTTCTTTCAGGCTGTCTTTTGGTACTTTGTATAGCTAAATGCTGCATTTAGAAAATGGTTATTCTATAGATCTATGAAATGCTTCATGACAAGCAGCTAAAGTAAAAACTTAGAGTAGACCCATAAAAAAAGTATTTCTTTGTTTTCTTCAAAAGATTCCTGGTGTTTTTAACCCATAAAATCTAATTTAAATTCTTCTGTAGGTTTCCTGTATGTATTTTGCATGTTTTATTTTTGATTTACATTTAAAATTTGCTAATTTACATCCATTTATGCATTAAAGATATTTAGAACATGTAGTGATATTCTGCACTGCCACACAGCAGAAGACTGTATTTTTTCAAGTACAGAAATTTGGGCCAGTTTGAATACATCTAGAACTTTTTGAATTGGAGATGACAGATTATTTCCTTAGTAACATTATGCAATTTTTCTTGTGTTTTTCAATGAGAAAGAAAAGTCTAGCCCTTGGTCTAAAGAGATTTTGATCTGACCTATTGAAGTCCTTCTGACATATCTACAACATAACTGTAGTTTCATATTCAAATATAAAAATCTTCAGAGAGCTGAAAGCCCAGTCTCTCATTCACTGTTTAGGTACCTAAGATTGTTCTGCAATGCTCAGAACAGCAGCAGAAATAACTGCAAAGTGTCTACAGTCAACTGTGTCTTTGAAAATGATGTCCCAGGGTTTCTCGCCTGTTAACAGCATGTTGCTTTCTATCATGGGAAAGCCCAGTTTTCATAAATACTAGGGCACGTATGCTATTACTGCAGCATTTCATAAAGCACTGGAAGCACTGGATATTTACTGAAATGTCTTCACTTTGCTTGAAGAATGTGGTGAAGAATTTAAGCTTACAATTCTGGATTTATTTTGCTCTAAGCAGGTGGTGACTACCACTTTAAAATAAGTGCATGTTAATTAATGCTTGAATACAGCTGATATTATATTGGATAATGCCAACACAAATTCACCTTATTAATGAAAAGATCCATCATAATGAGTATATTGTTGTCTTGCTGAATTATGATGGAATTCTTATGGAAGGATAAATGACATCCATTTTAAAACCTAATGGGTATCATTATGGTCAGTGTTAAAACAATGAATACCAAATGAATGAGTAATAGGAGGGACACTAAAACTAAATTTTATTCATTAACTCAGTCAGTAAAAATGTATAATCAGTACCACAGATTTATGTACATATCCTAGCTAACTGTGCATGTGCTTTGGGCAATCTGGGACCCTCTGGAAAATTTGATCACAGTGGCAAAAGCATTCTTAACCAGTTCAGTAGAAATACATATATATGGTTTATGTAAAATACTGAAAGTAGAAAATAGCCTGAATACTGCTCAAGAGGCCATAAATACTTTCTTTTCTCCTGTGTATAAAGAATCTGAAATAGAAATCCCAGCAGTACGACAATGGCAATTAAGCAAACATTTTTTAATTGGTGTGCTTTATTATCCTGACTGTGTGAACAGAAATGGGAATAGTCAGTGACTTGAGCTACCCTGATGAGTACTTCTGCTTGGGACACCATTCAGCATCCATTAGGAGCCAGAATAAAACCACCCATCAGGCAGGTAGCTCCTACCAGAAGTACATGGCATGTTCACTGATCTCGAACTTCCCAAGGTTCTTACAGTTGTCCATAGGGCTACTTTGGAATTGTAAGCTCTATAAGGACTTTTAGTAGCTTCTCTTTATTAATTAATAAGTTAACTTTTTTATTTATTCCGTGTTAGTTTTTGTGTCAACTCACCGCAGGGAAATTCAAATTGCTGCAAGCTTTGGAGACAATTATGTTGTTAAAAAGTGGTCTAAAAATATCACATGAGCCCACTGAGTTCTTTGCTTTTAGGGAGGTAGGAAAGGAAAAGGTGGAATTCAGAAGGGAATTCTGACTAGGAAGAATGTAAATCCATGCTTTCATGTGATCTAATTCTCATGTGGCCAACTAAGAAAATGAAGTGTAGTTTTAAGTACATATCAATTTTGTGGGCAATTTTTTGTATCTTAAGACTGCTAAGGAAAAAATTCTCCCATTGGATCTCAATCAGTACTGGGTATACTTACACACAGTTGTTATTTTATTACAGATCTTTGATCTGGATCTGTATTAGGTATTCTGTGAATCAGTACAAGTATTCTGCAGTGGCTCTGTAGAACTTTCACCTACAATACTGAAAGAAATGGAAGCACAATCTGCAATAAACCATTAAACTGCAAACAGATCTGAAGAGGTTGTCCTGAGAGAGGGAAGATCACCAATTCAGGTTTAGAGCAAGATCTGCCAAGTAGTTTGGTTTTTTTTTTCCTCAGAGATACATGTTAATACGTTACCTTCTGAGCATGTAGCTATTACATTCACGAGGCACCGAAACAAAGGTTTATTCTTCTCAGTATAGAATCATAAACCATTGGTATATTTCTTAGGAAAAGACAAAATTTGAGGATATAACAGTATATAAACTTCACCAGAGTAAAGTCCAACCAGTCCAGCAGCCTCTTTATAATCACAGTGGTCTGTAAGTGCCAAGGGAAGAGTGTAAGCTGGTAAGGAGGTAGTGATCCTTCATCACCTAACCTCAAGCCTGTAGCTTGGGTACCTCTGTCTTTGGATATGGTCTTTATTCATCCTAAATGCCCATTAAATTTTTTATCACAAGTAAGGTTTTGTTTGAGACATCAAGCCTGCTTCTGTGGCAGCCCACTGTGTGCCCAGCCCTCTACTATTGTTATTTGATTTTGAGAGGTCCCTAAAAATGGCTTGTATGCAAAAATCTAGGAAAAATTTACACTGGAAATTCAGATAAGTGGCCTGGAGGCAAAATGACCTGTACTTCGTAAAAGAACTGCAAGCACAAACTACTGTTTGCTTCTCATCAGTCATTCGTGTCTATTGCATTTGACACTCTTCAGAAAGAAGGAAGATATTTTGTGATTTTATCATAAGAAAATCCTTTGAAATGTCTCTTTTTCAGGGATGAGTTATTTCTATCGTCATATTATAATCTGATAATTGTTTAAAACAATTATGTTAGCAGTGAT